AAAATACCAACTCTATCACAGCATATATACAAGCTAAACGCAGATTTTTTCGATAAAGCCATAGAATGTAAAACAGCAAATTTTAATGAAATCTTTAAATTTGAAAATTATATCAAAGATAAAAACTACAGACCAATAGCTGCACATTTCACCTCCGACGCCTCTTATCATAACTATCAAAACAAATAATTTCATCAACCTTCTGAAAATAACGTTTCCTCATGCTGATACAATTCTGAATAACTCCAAAATCAAACAAACACAGTTTAGAGCAAGCTGCTCACTTTATTTTTTGGTTCCTTTTAGTTATTCAAGCAAAGTGCTTGAAACATTCATAAAAGCAACTCCACTGCCTGCTTACCTCAATGCTCAACCGAAACAGTGCTAAAATTCCAGATTAATGGGATAGGGGTCGCTTCGCGGCCCAGGTGCCCAATAAAATCAAAACTCTAGGACTAGGATCAAATAATTGTTATGTTTTATTTAAAATCAAATTGGTTGCTCCAGATAAGACAAAGTACTCCTGATTTTCAAGTGGTAGTTTTTAATGTGTGATTCCTATTTTAATAGATTCGATTTATAGGGTTTTGTCACCACTACTTCAAAATAATTCAAAGGCTTATGAAACAAGTCATTTTCTTAAAGCCTTTTAAAAAGTTGGCAAAATTTACCGAAAATCTGTATATTTTATTTTGTAGTTCTCCAACGTTTTCTAAAATATTTAACCGAATGCGGAACATTTGGCATCACTGTTGTTAATTCAATAAAATATCCATAAAGTTTATATGCAAACCGGCTACCACATTTTTCATTAAGACACTTTTCCCATTACTGCAAAATAGGAGTCTGGCATATAAACTGTTAAGCTTAACATTGTAATTGTAAAGCTGCCAACTTCTTCGGCTTTAACAGTATGCTTTTTCCAGTGGTAGAAAAACAATATTTGTTTCCAGGTTTTTATTTTGTTTTATACTATTTTAACCGTCGTTGAACCCAATTTGGGTTTACGACTAAGACGAGAAGAACC